AACTTTGGGTCATGACCGAAATGGCAACAATGCAGTTCTGACATGCCTCACATTAAAATACTGTCAAAAGATCTTGAAAAAAGTGAAACGTCACATTGTCCAATGTAACATTGGATATGATTTCATTCTGATTATGGGGTGATACACTATTGTCCCTCTGCATGCTCTCACACAGTAAATGAAACTTCCCCCGGAGGAGCTGGAGGAAGTGTCTGGAGAGAGGGAGGTCTGGGCATCTTTGCTTAGACTGCTGCCCCCGCGACCCGACCCCGGATAAGCGGAAGAAAATGGATGGATGGATGGAAAACCCAACAAATCCCCCTTGAGCAAGCACTTGGCAAACAATATAGTTCTCCCAAACTCTTCCCCTTTCCTGTATTGAGCACTTGGTGCAGTCCAGGCCTAGTGGGAGGTATTTAAACCTGCTGCTGTCTCAGTTCAACCTTTTTGTCAGGACCACCCCCATCCATTGACCAGGAACATGGTAATTCAAAAAAAATTACACACATTAACAATAGGAAATTAACCAAATATGCATGCTTCGCTGATTAATTATGTCCAATGGCAAATCAAATACATAACCTTTATGGTGAAGGCCGGTGCTGAGGCCTTCACACTTATAATAATGATTGTTGGTGTTATCACAATTATCAGCAGTGGCTAGTAAATACTTTTAGGGGCCCTATTCACCTCAAGATGTTTACACAATCAATACAAACACACACACTTGCACACACAGTATCATTGAAAACTGGAATTTTAAAGGTCAGGCTTTCACAGTAGCATTGCATTAAGACGAATAAAAAAGTATTATAATACTGATATAACAGTTGGAAACTGTAAAAATTATGAGTGAAATTGCAGGATTTTAGGACCATATTGTTGATGAAGGCTCAAATCAGATTATCACAGAGTTTTAATTTTGTAAATTCAATTATAGGCACTTATAGCAACTGAAATGAAACTAGTTCTTAATTAAACCAGAAATACTGTAAGGATGGCACATGCAATAACTTAAAAAGCACTGGAATATATGTAAGGATCAGACTTTCAGACCGCTCATTAGTAGCAGACTGCTATTACACTTGCATCTGCAACCAACAAATGTCATCATTACTGATTAAGCTGATTGTTTGTCCAATAGCCTAATTAACTGTTCTGCTGTAAAATGTAAGAAAAATGTGAAAAATTTGTTTTCAGAGCCAAAGGTAATTAATTCAGTTTTTAAACTTATTTACTTATTTTGCAGGGACGCATGCAGCTAAATATTGTCACACACAGGAGAACAATCCAGTGCATGTGGGGTGTCTGACTAAGAGCTAATTCTCAGCCTTCCTGAATAGGTTTGCAAAATAGATTCAAACATCTAAAATAAATAGCTTAATAAACTGCATGTTTTGTCCAACCAACAGTCCAGAACCCATATATATTGTTTATAATAACATTAAACAGAGAAAAGCAACGAAAACTTACATTTGAGAAGCTGGAACAAGCAAAGGTTGGCTTTTTTTGCCTGAGTAAAATGCCCAATATTCAGCAGTTATCATCACATTAGAATATAAAGCTAAATTCCTTTTCTTTTATGGGCATAAATGTCACATTTTCACCTAGTAATAAGCTGGGCAGCGATACTGTCTGGTAATTATGGTAAGGCACAGTACCTTTTGACACTCATTATTGTTTATAGTTTATGGCACGAGAATGATCTCATGGCGGTGGTGTCATAAATAGAAGACTGACAAAGCTGCCCCTGAGGAAATCACTGAAGCCCCTACATGCTGTGTCATTGATCAGGTCTCTGGAGAAGATTGCCTGACAAACACCTGAGTGTAAATTTAGTTACCCACACAAGTGTAAACACTCAAAGGACTCTCTCACAGA